TAAATAAATAAATGTCATGTGACACTGCCGTGACATCGTGAGTTTGACACCCTTGGTGTAGATGGAGACGAGGGAGCCATTTTTAGTAATGTTGCACTGAGTTGGGAACACTGTGTTGTACTGTGGACTATTTGTTGTGTTTTATTGTTCACCATCCAGAGTTGATTGATTTGGAGGATATAAACATAACGCAAATAAGTAAAAAAAAAGTTCTTAGCCATGGTTTGTTGAACAAGCCACAATTCAAAGATAATGGGTTAAAATTTGATTTAAAGTTTGCAAAGCCAAAAATAAACTAATGTTATTTTAGTGTACTACAATGTGTGATCACACAGGTGTGCTGTTATATTCACACTCTTAACAAAGAAAGAGGAATTAATTGAATATGCTTAAGTTGAAATAACTGCCAGGGTGTTCAGTGAGATATATACGCAAGATTAAATTTATGCAATGCAGTCCTGTGGCTTCTTTCCATAGATAAAAAACTCTTTGGCAGCCCACAATCAATAAGGCAAAGTATAGTTCAGAAAAATGGCCTCATATCCATGCCATTTTAAATTGCAATAAAAACAATTTATTGCATTTATAAGAAAGATGCATTTATCAAATGATCTAATTTGTCCTCAGAATATTTGTACATAGATAGGATGTATGTAGATCTAAGAAATAACACAAGCTCTGGCTTTTAACCCTCAAATTGTGGAGATTTTCCAGTTGAGAGTTAGAAATTACAACTTTGTGTTGATGAAGGAATTTCTCCAAGTATTTCATTTCATTAATCTAAATGTATAATAGTCTTTATCAAAAACCTGTTAAGAAACTTTTGGGGATGTTGCACAGGAAAAGCCAAAACCTTAAACTCAAACTTAAGATTTTCAGTTGGAATTTAAGGTGAATCTGATATAGGAAGACATAAAGACTTTTATTCTGAAAATGTCTTGCAAGACTGTAGTAAGTCTGCTAACTTACTTTGTATAGAGTATATTTGCTTGCACTAAATAGTTTTTATATGAAACAGTTATAATTAGAAATCCTAAATTCACCCTTTACCCAGGATCCCAGTGAATATATGGAATATATATAGATACATTTATATTTTACTCCTTTTTCAGCCTTCCTGTTGTTGTTGATTTGCTTTTTATGAAAAAAAATTGGGCATAATCATAGGAAGCTTTAATTCATACTGGGACTACATTTTGCATTTTCATGGAATATTTACTGATGGAGGTTCTGTCTTTTCAGTACAGTCAAGCAGAAAGTTCAATTATGGATAGTATAATTCATATAATATCAAGATATAAAATAATCTCAAGATACATGCTACTTTTGCCTGCTTAGAAATGACTTTATTTAGAACATGAATCATATTTCATGCTATTGTCCTTAGCAAATATAGCCTTCCATAAACATTTATTAATCAAAAGACTAGAGCTAAACTATTCCCAATGTATTAATCAAATGTACCGTGTGTGTGCTGGTCATCAAGCGTTATTGAACTACCAGTCCAAGCAACATTTTCTATTCTATATATCAGCTGAGACTACTGGGAATTGTAATTTAGCAATCATTGGGAGAAGGTAATGCCTTTGTTTTGTTTTTTTACCAATTAGTTATACTGAGCCATGAAGCAAACTTCTTTATCCCTGTTCCCATGACAATAAGGACTAGAGGGCTTGACTACTGTGCAATGATATATTTAAAAAAGATGGGGATAAGCAGCATTTTTTAAAACAAAAAACATTTACAATGAGAAAAAAAGAGGATGTGGTAATCCATTGCTTGTTACTCCTAAACTGAAGGTTACTGAAAGAAAATCAGAGTAGAGCTTTTGCAGTGTAAAATTAATCCCTGAAATGTATGATTAAATCCCCTTCCATTAGCAATCAGCTCAGCTTCTTTTCAATGGCATACTTGTAAATTACTTTGTCATCCACTACAATATTCCAAAATTATAAATTCCACATACCCAAATGGTTAGAATGAATTTGTTTGCATGTGCTTAAGGTTAGTGGTAAGGAAATACAGGTAGTCCTTGACTTACAACAGTTCGTTTACCGATTGTTCGAAGTTATAACGGCACAGAAAAAAGTAACTTAAGACTATTGTTCACCTTTATGACTGTTGCAGCATCCCCAGTGTCATGTGATTTACATCAGGATGTTTGAAAACTGGTTTATATGTATGATGGTTGCAGTGTCCAGCGGTCATGGGATCAGCTCTTGTGACCTCTGACAAGCCAAATCAATGGAGAAGCCAGATTCACTTAACTGAGTTTAAGGCTGAGACAAGTTCTGATTACATATGTGGCTAAGCTTTATATGTGAAATAGCCTAAAATGAAGTTGTGCTACCTATCCAGGAGGTAAAAGAGGAAAACATCTCTCCAGACTTGATGAAAACTGTTCCCGGCTGAAACAGTATTTTCGCTTTTATTTGATATTTTTCTACTTACCGCTTAACCTGTCTTAAAAATCTGTCACAGAGCTAAGACACAGACATGACACATAGAATGTACAACTGTGACTTGAACATGAAAAAAAAAAAAGAATAGAATACAGAAGAGTTTGAGAGAAACAGAATATTTACTCATGTTAACATGTACATAAAATACTATGAATTTAAAACAAAACCAGCTGTGGAATTCTTATCATGAGTATAGCACTTTTTAGAGCACACAGATTCACTTTGATTGAAGGGACAAAAAAGCCACTTGGTAACAAATAAACAAACAGAGAAACAAAGCTGGTTTCTTCCGCTTAGGCTGGAGTGATTCTATTTGCTTCTCTTGGATGAAAAGAAAATAGCAGCAGAATCATTTGTGTCACTTTGCCTTATCAGGAATCGCTTTGCGTTATCAGGAACCGCAAGTGCATGTCCTTTAAAATAAGGTGTCAGATGAATACAGATACAATGCTATTATACGGAGACAGAAGAGAGAGAGAGTAACTTAATCAAAGGTTGTAATACAAATGTAGTAAGCTACTTTCCTTAGTGCTCATGGTTAGCACATGCTCAGATTAGAGTGCACATTGTACTATAGCTTCATTTATTATTTATTCAATTTATGTAGCCGCCCAACTCATACATACAGTAGGTGACTCTGGGCGGCTTCAACATTTATCAAGATACTGTAGCATAATTCCCATTTTTTTGCTCCCTTACTAGACTTGGAGAACTAAAATCTTTAATATTTAGGTACAGCTGAAAGATACAGGTCATATTGCATACACATTCAGTGAACAAAAGCCATCGATAAACACAGTGAGTAAATGAGAACGCATGTATATACATTTGCCACATGGCCCTGTAGTTGGTGAGGAACCCAAGTAACCTTGCTTCCGGGTCTAATTATTTTCAACTTTTTAATAGTGTACAAGGGAAATAAGTGGCCATCACTGTTAAGCATTTTTTGGGAAAGGGAAGTCTGGATATTCCAACTGCTTCTGATTACAGATTAAGATAACACGAATCAAAATTTAAAATTTATATAGAACAGGGGTGTGTCAAACCCAATCGCATTGCAGGTCATATCATGACATATCGGGATTTTTTTTTTCCTTGCAGAGCTGGGTGGGCGTGGCCTGTGGGGTCCAGATCTGGCCTGTGGGCCTTGTGTTTGACATGCCTGATCTAGAATGTTGAACATCAGATTTTTCAAAGCAGTGAAAAATCAGAAGATTGGAATTTGGATGTCTCAAGCAATCTTCTGAGCAGTGTAGAATTGTTACAAAAGCTGGTACAACTATATTACCCAGTGCATATATATGCACCATGGATAATGCACTGTGGACACACTGTATATGGACAGTGTATAACTACATCCATGGTGCAAGATGTAATTCTAGTCCTGCTCCCCTTTCTGCAAACTTTCTTCACGCAGGATCTGATCTGAATGCTGGCCCAATCCAGCAGTCCCCTGGATTCTCTTGCGGGGGGACTACAAATAAAGGAAGTAGCACAACTGAGCCACACTACTAAATTGCACTTGGGGCATCAGATCTCTTGTTCAGTCAGTTTTTACAGCAGAATAAGAAAATTTTGTTGATCTGCCATAAACTTATTATTAGTGTATAAAGCCCATGGTGATTTGAAAATGAGAAGTTTGTTTATACTCCTCACATGGCATCAGGCACTTTATTGTTAAGATGTTGCTTTTCTAAAAACAAAAGATTTGATCTGATGGAGAAGCTGCCAAATTAGAATGTGATTCTTGATGAGAGTTAATTGTGTTTCCCAGTGAACACTTCAATCTTCTAGGATAATGATATGCAAAGAAGAAATACTTTTAACTAAATACACAATTAACTTAGACTATTACAGAAGTATCTGTAATGAGATACTAATTTTATATATATATGTGTGTGTCTCTGTGTGTGTGTGTGTGTGTATGTGTTTTCGTAGATTTTCATGGGTACAGGTATGCAGGTCTTGGCATGTTTTTGGTCTTTTCCTGTGTAAGATTGAGGGGCATCTTGGCAACGTTTCGACGAGGTCCCACTTGCCATCTTCAGTGGGACCTCGTCGAAACGTTGCCAAGATGCTCTCAATCTTACACGGGAAAAGACCCGAACACGCCAAGACCTGCGTATATATATACATTTATATATATAAGTAATGATGTGAATTTCTAAATTCATCAGGCATTGTCCTCTGTTCCTTAGGATGATAATACATTTCCACTAAAAGCCCACTAACCAAGAAACTCCCCTTGCCCAATAACCATCTTTCCAATATCCAGATTTTCACAGTGGGTAGGGTTTCTTTGCCCGAGCTATTGTTGATCTCGGGCTCCAAGGATCTGCCATAAGGATCAGTTGCAGGATCAAAGGCCTCACTAGAGTTTATTGACTAATCCTACACGCACTGCTGGGATGGGCAGGAAAACCTTCTCCATTTCTAAGTAAGAAGAACATCATTCATTGGAAAAAGAAAAGTGCAGATTCAGGACCCACGGCCTCCGTTGTCATTTTGTGGCCAAAAAGGCAAGAGGGGTGTTGTCCTTCAGCATGGGGAGGAGGACAGCTGGTCATATTCAGGACATTTAAGCAGAGCCGGGTAATTACTGTTCATTTGGAGGGAGGTATCGCTGGAGATGTCAGAAGGGCTGCGTCCCCGGACCCATGCCTCGGGGTGAAGGAACTGGCCTGAGTAATCGGAGCAGTTGCTAAGACGGGGCCGGTAGAAGCCAGAGTGTGGCCGGTACATCTCTTCAGCAGTGTATCTCTTCATAAATAGGTAAACGGACATGACACCCGCACTCTGCAAGAGAGAGAGAGAGAACCAAAGCAATGCCTTGACACTTGGATGGCCCTTCTGGTGGAAGGATAGGATGCAGTGCTCTATGGATCCAAGCAGACAAGGCAGCCATTGCAATGAAACATATACATCAGTGGTGGGATTCAAAAAATTTTACTACCAGTTCTGTGGATGTGGCTTGGTGGGCCTGGTGTGGCTTGGTGAGCATGGTTTGGTGGGCGTGGCAGGGGAAGGATACAGCAAAATCCCCATTCCCTCCCCATCCCATTAACCTGCTTTCCAGCTCTGTTCTCCTGTGCAGGGCAACAAAAGAAAACCCAGCCGATCAGCTGGGACTCGGGAGGCAGAGAATAGATGGGGGCAGGGCCAACCAGAGATGGTATTTGCCAGTTCTCCAAACTACTCAAAATTTCCGCTACCGTTTCTCCAGAGGTGGTATTCTGCTGAATACCACCTCTGATATACAGGCAACTTTCAGCATCAACAGATCCATTTCTCACAATCTGCCATGATTAGAACTCTTCTCACTGAAAGGAGCAGATCTGTGGGAAACTTTTCCGGTTGAACTACTTTGCTACTTTAAAATATAACATCAAGTACCAATTCATTTGATATTGACAGAAAAGCCATCAATCACTGTCACACTGGTCCACGCTTTTGTCTGACAAAAATATTCCCTTTGCAGGACTTCTAAATCAATAAGCAATTTTGAAACCTGTGATGTTTAGAGGTAGACCTTTTCTTTGGGTTTCTAATTCAAGGCTTTTGGGGGTAGCTGAGCATCACAGTAACCCCACTGGATAGCTTAGAGGGAAAACGCTTTAATAGGAGTCCAATTTTGAGAAGACAGAATAATAGATTTTTTTTTCTTATTTGAGTAATATTCTCATAAACTATCCTTTCCTGCTTGCTACACCTTCAAAAAAAAAAGATTCCTCAAACAACTGTTCTCCATATAAGAGGGAGGCCCAATATATTTACCAGCTTGTCTTTCTTTCAAACGATAATAACAAGGGACCAAAATCTCACTTGTTCTAACAGAGGAATCAAGCTGAAGTAATCAAGACTTGAAAACATGGTGTTCAGGAAAACTACAATAAACTGCTTAGATGGAATAGAATTTATGTCAACTGAACAGATAAGTACAGGAATTGGGCACAACTCAATTAATTCCTGACAGTATGGAACAATTTGTTACTCTAGCTCAATTTACTGATTTGTCTATTGCCTGATCCCTCTTGTACTACAAGCCTTCGCTTGGGGGAAATGCTTTTTCTCTAGTATCATTTTCAAATGTTTTTCCAGTATGGATCACAAATGTGTATTGAAAATATGCTTTGGAACTGAAGAGGAATTACCTGTTATAAGCAGATAACTGGCCAAACATTTATGACAAAGCTGTGATATATACCTAAGTGGACTGAGCATTTCTTAGAGCTCAAAATAAATTTCTAAAAATATTTCACAGTGTGGCACATGTATGAACTTCACAATTTTGATTCTGATGTTAGTGAAGTCATAATGATAGGATACGACTCTGTTGCATACTGTGTGGAAGGGAAGAAAATTCCAGCAGTAAAGCTATTTTACCTTATTTTGAAGCAAGAAAAAATACCTCTGCTGCTATAATCAAAATGGCTATTAAAAGTCTGCAGTCTAAACTGGCCTGAGTTACACTGAATGTCAGAGTCAAGATTCAACTATTTTATCTATTATAAATGGCAGACCTCTGATACTCCAATACTAGAGTTCTGCAGCTAGTATGGCTTTTGCTGAAAATTATAAGACTTGTTGATCAGATATGGACATCAAGGCGCTCAGATCAGGGAAGACTGCTGTGATGGAACTGTTTTGTTATTAATTTAAAAGAATAGCAACAAAAATGGTACAATGTGATTGCCATGGAATACAAGGGCATTGCCCCTCTTGCCCTCTTTGCCCCTAAATAAATATACAGAAAAGATAGCAAACGCATGTTATCAAGTTTCTGATCAAGTGGCAACAAAATGTACTTCCCATAGTGTGTCCAATGACCTCATCTTACCTCAGTTAGAAGAAAAGAAATGGCAGAAAAACCTAATGACCAGCCATATTTGTAAGTGAAGTATGTCTCCGAATCCTTGGTTCTATTGAGCATTTCATCATTGATGGTGGAGATGTACAATACGAGCCCCACCACCAGAGATAAACCTGGGAAGCAAAAGGTTTTGGTCAAAATATACAAGAAGAAAAAACAACCTACTGCAGAGAATCAAAGCAACCTTCAGCTTGCTTTAGGACAGTGGTTTCCAACCTTGGCAACTTTTAAGACTTGTGGACTTCAACTCCCAGAATTCTCCAGCCAACAAAGCTGGCTGAGGAATTCTGGGAATTGAAGTCCACAAGTCTTAAAGTTGCAAGGTTGGAAACCACTGCTTTAGGAGAAGCATAGGAAATGCATGACCTCTCCAACTGCTACAGGAGAAACCTCCTCATTCTGATTCCTACTAGAATAGTGCATCACCACCACAGCAATATCCAGGTGTGTGGAGTTCAAGTCCCAGAATTCTCATTGAGGACCATGCTGGCTGTGGAGCTCTGGGATTTGAACTAGAAATTGCCAAGATAGGCAAACGCTGTAGAATTATTGGAAATCACCTTCCAGGTGACCATCCTGGGACTGGGGGTTAAGAGAAGTGAAGTCCACATTTACGATGGACACAAAATTAGAGAAAGATGTTGTAGAACTCATCTCTACTCCTGGGGGTGAACAGGAATTATAGTCCAAGAATATTTAAAGTCCATAGATTTCCCAGTTTCTTTTAAGGGGTTATTTGCAAACGTGGATAGGGAAGAGGCATTATGCCAAAGTTGCATCTGTGGTTACTGAGAAATGAGGATTTAGTGCTGAATTAAGCAACAGATTTAAATTCTCAGATACTCTTTTTCTGATCTACTTGTAAATTGGGGACTGTAAAGTAAGAGCTTTTAAGATCTGCGGCCACAGTTGCTTGTTTAATACTCTGTTAGTGCTGTGAATAAAATATGAGTTTTCCCTCTCAGATGAAGACACGTTTCCAGAAATCTTTTTAGTTCAAGCCTCGTACATTAATTCCATTCACCATTATGTCATAGATCAAAGGAAGTTTGTTTAGAGCAGTGGTAGTCAACCTGGTTCCTACCACCCCCACTAGTGGGCGTTCCAGCTTTCATGGTGGGCGGTAGGGGTTTTGTCCCCTACTTTATAAATCACCATTACTGTGGAATCGGTGGGCGGTTAGAGAAAATGTTGCTACTAACAGAGATACAAAAGTGGGCAGTAGGAATAAAAAGGTTGACTACCCCTGGTCTAGAGCTACATGTAACCAAGATGGCAATTGTGAGCAAAGCACAGGTTTTTATTGCTGATTTTTGCTTCAAGATCTTCCTTTTATAATCTGCCCTGTAAGTACATAAATAAAATGTCTCTTTATATTATTCTTTATAATATTAAAATACATCTCCTTGATACTGTTGAGCTAAATAGTCTTCCATATTGTATTTTATTTTGCCTTATGAATTTAGATCTCTATTTCAAATATTTCAGTTGAAATATACTCAAAAGCAATTTCATCAGAAATATGTTATTATTGTTTTTTAAATAACAGCCATTGTAAGGACGTACAGGATGTCTCATTATATATTAGCTATTGCAAGAATAAGCCAAAACTGTGACAGAGTAGTTCTAAAGTGTCACGAAAACATCAAATTTAATGGAAATTTTAGCTGCCCAGTTTCTTTTATTTGGTTTGGGTTCTATTTATTTATGGGCATATTATATTTAGAAATTCTACTTGATGTCCATTGTTATGCATCCATGTAATAGACTTCGGCTCTTATGAAAAAGTTTCATTTACTGACTATGTGATTGATATATCACTCAAGAACAAAAATTATCTGATCTGTTTACATACAAAATTTAAACACTTTTAAAGGAGCAAACGTAAATAAATAGGGCATTTTTATCAGGTTGTTATCATGGAGTTTGTCTGACTCCCATCTTCTTGACAGTTAGAACAATTAATCAGTGGAACAACTTGCCTCCAGAAGTTATGAATGCTCCAACACTGGAAGCTTTTAAGAAGATGTTGGATGACCATTTGTCTGAAGTGGTGTAGGTGTTCCTGCCTAGGCAGGGGGTTGGACTAGAAGACGTCCAAGGTCCCTTCCAACTCTGTTATTCTATTCTATTCTATTCTATTCTATTCTATTCTATTCTATTCTA